GCAGGAATGTCCCAGGTTTTCAAATCTTTCAAGTAACTGAATAACAAATCTTTCCTGTTGGGTTTAGCAATCTGAATGCATTGCCTTGGCTTGTGTCTCTGATGGGGTACAGTATGTCATCTTAAAAGGTCTTAAAACAAATTGAGACAATAATTGTCAGATGAATAGGAAATGAAAATAAAATTAGTTGTGGCCCTAATGTGCTCATACATCAAAGTAGAAATTTGGCTGGTGATGGGACTAGATGAAAACTTAGGGCATCACAAACTTATTGTAGTTCATCTTGATGTGGATTTCTGTGCTACATTTCATGGCAATTGATTTACTGTAGTAGTTCTCAAGAGATTTGACTCAAGACCACAAACCTCAACCTCTTAATTGCAGTATAATAAAGGTCGGAGAGCCGTAACAGGTATGTGATTTATAGCTGGTATAAGTCAGTAGTAGCAGGGCTACAGCATTAAATGTTGTATTCTGTATAAACCAGTATATCATATATAATTATGCTGGAAGAATTTATGCTTTATTTAACTTAAGTTTTGCATGTTGGAAATAAATGACCAATTATCCACAAGATGATTCATTGGCCTGAGCTGGTAAGTAGATCACACGCTTGCACACAGACACATATATAAACACACACTTAGACAGTTCTTTATGTCACTAGTTGACTCCAATTTTTCACTCCTCTGCTCCTTCCCACCTGCCCTCTGTCTTTCTCTCTCTCTTTCTGTCTCTGGATGGTTTCTGGTCCTTCCCTGCATCCCGCTACAGTTGAACAGATTGTGTCTGTATTCCAAGCTGCTTCCAAACAAAAGGCATGGGACCATTTCTCCAAAGCTCAGCGCAAGAACCTGGACATGTGGCGTAAACAAGCAGAGGTTGGTACACATTGATTTCATTCTGTTATTGACATGGTTTATGGAAAATTAGACTTTATCTCATTTTGTTCTACACCTGTGCCATTGTAACGTCCTGTTGATAGTTAGAATGCTGACATTAGGGCTGCATTACGATGAAAAGAGTAGACTCCTTGTTACAGTAAGTACTTTGGATGAAGCCAGGGTACAGAACACTTGCCAGT